AGGGAAAGGGAGAGGGACCTGGGATAGACATGTGAAGCAACCTTGTTTCCAATTTAAATTTTAAAAAATGGGAAAAAGGAGAAAAAAGAAAAACAATCAAAAAACGAAACAAAACAAAATACAATGAAGATTGTCAAAGTAAAATCTGATCAACACGGATAAGATTATCTCAAGTGAAACAGAGGACTAATGGAGAAAGTACTACAGCGTGGGGAGGTCTATTTGGGATGCCTGATTTAAAGGATGTATGTTTTTTCTCAGAAGTCATTTTTTTGTTTGTTCTTTCTGGGTTTTTTGTTGTTGTTGTTGTTTTGTTTTGTTTTTCGAGAACAGGGTTTCTCTGTGGCTTTGGAGGTTTTCCTGGAACTAGCTCTTGTAGCCCAGCCTGGTCTCGAACTCACAGAGATCCGCCTGCCTCTGACTCCCGAGTGCTGGGATTAAAGGCGTGTGCCACCACCGCTTGGCTTGTTTGTTCTTTCAAGTCAGCAAGTGATAGAGGAATAGAACTCAGAAAATCAATCTTACTTACAAGCTGGGATCCAACAATGGCTGGCTATGATCTGAAAGTCCAAGAAGCCAGAAGTTGCTCTGTCACTAGGTGGGATGTTCCAGCAGGTCCACAGTAATCTCTGGAATCCTAAAGAAGTAGGCTCTGATGCTAGTGAAGTAATAGACTTCTTAGCACGGTGGGAGTTCAAAGGCAAAGTGAAAACACTTCCTTCTTCCAGGTTCATTTATTGGCTTCCAGCAGAAGGTGTGGCCCAGATTAAAGGTGTGTCTTCTTGTCTGGATATGTGCATTAAAGGCACCTCTGGATTAAAGGTGTGTGTTGTCCCAGGTCAAAAGATCTGCATTAAACATATTGTCTTCACACCTCAAAGATCTGGATTAGAAGTGGCTCTTCCTACTTTAGGCAAAACTACCTCATAGGTGTGTCATTCAATTCTGTCATTCAAGTTGTCAACCAAGAATTAACTCATTTTGTAGACCATGCTGCCCTCAAACCCACAAAAATCCACTTGCCTCTGGGATTAAATGCGTGTGCCACCACAGCCCTGCTGCAACAAGCACTCTCTTAACCCTCTGAGCCATCTCTCCACCCCCTGACCACAGGCTTCTTTTATTTATGTGTAAGTATTTAGTTTGAACGCATACCTATGCATCTTATGTGTGTTTGGTACAAGAGGAAGTCAAAGGAGGGGATTGGAATTCCTGAAACAGTAGTAATGGCCTTGTGAGGGCAATGTGGGCTCTAGGAATACATTAAGGTCCTCTGCAAGAACTAGTGCCTTTAGCCTTGAGCTATCAACACAGGTGTTTTTTTATGTTTTGTTTTTAGTTTTGGTTTTTTCAAGACAGAGTTTCTCTGTGGCTTCGGAGGCTGTCCTGGGCCTAGCTCTTGTAGGATCATTGTGAGTTCGAGACCAGTCTGGTCTATAAGAGCTAGAGCTAGTTCCACGACAGACTCCAAAGTCGTAGAGAAACCCTGTCTCTGAAAACCAAAAAAATAAGAAAGAACTCCCTGTGTGACCAGGCTGGCCTCAAACTCAGAGACCTGCCTCAGGCTCCTGGGTGCAGAGATTAAAGGTGTGCCCCACCATGCCCACCCAGCCCGACTTTCACACTAGGTTTTAAGCTGCTAATACCACTGTCAGGAAGGCGCTGACCATCCAGTTCACCACCACAGCACATGTTTGCACCAGGTTTCAGTTGTAACATCGCTATTTCTGGTTTTCTGAAATTACACAGCTCAGGGCATCAAAGCAATGTTGGCTGCCTCCTTTGAGATTCCAGTCGGTGAGAGCAGCAGAGTTCCAGTCAGATAGCTGCTGCCTCCTTGAGTACATCCACCTCCTGTAGCATACCAGATGATACCAACCTGACATTGTTTGCAGGACCCAGTGTGTCCAGTTGCCGCAGGCTCTTAAAGTCGTACACCCAGTGTCTGCTAAGAAGCCCCTCTTGGGCAGAGCACAACCCAGGCCACTTCTAAAGCAGTAACAGAGCAAGGACACAACTCCCTTTGCTCCTCAAGAACCCAGGTTTCCCTACAGGCATCCAAGGCTCCTGGGCTGACCAGAGTTCTGCCTGAGTGCATTCTGCAAGGTACCAGGGCCAGGCCAGAATAATACCTCAATCCTTACAACATGAGATGCTGCTGTAAAATGCTGTAACACCACAATTCCTGGTGCTGGCAGTGATGTTTGTGTCCTGAAGCAAAGGTCTAGTTGTGAAGGTGAAAGAGAATCAATGAATAAATGAAAACAAAACTAACACATTGAAAAATAAAAAGGAGGAGCCGGGCATTGGTGGCGCACGCCTTTAATCCCAGCACTCGGGAAGTAGAGGCAGGTGGATCTCTGTGAGTTCGAGACCAGCTTGGACTACCAAGGGAGTTCCAGTATAGCCTCCAAAGCCACAGAGAAACCCTGTCTCAAAAAACCAAAAAATAAAAAAATAAAAAGGAGGACTCCACTGCTCCTACCAGGTTGCCCTTTGTAGTACAGATATGAAAGGGAATACAAGCAGAGGAAGAAATTGAGGGGCAGCAGACTCAGACAGGGAGGAGACGGGGACATTAACACCTGGGAAATCAAGAGTAAACTAAGCCACACCCAGCTTGGCCAGGTGTGGAGAAGGGGGATGGAGAACAGGAGAAAAGTCCCCAAAGACAAGGAGGAGCCCAGAACTAGACACTGGACCAGAGACTGGCATAGTCAAACAGGCTGAAACCACAAGGGACAGAGGAGCTGGGGACAGGGAAGCCCAGCACAGTGTCCAGGCTGGAGAGTTCAGGTGAGGAAGTGAGTTGTACTAGGTACCCAGGGTGCTAAGAGAGACCCTCAGCATAGCTTCCTTCAGTTACTGAGCACCTTAGTTAGACCGCATCAGAGCTGAGGGTGCACACAGACCTGTCATCCGGCACTGTCCTAGCAGAGGTAGGGGAAGGTGTCTGCTTGTTCCCGGTCAGTCACTTCAGCACTGCCAGGCCAGCCCTGGACAGCTAGCAGGACTCTGGAATTTTGGAAATTTTCTTAAAAGACCTCATTTTAAAAACTCGTAATTCATGATGAATCCTCGCCCAAAATTCCCAGGAGAGCCCGAAAGTTCCAATCTTTCAAAAGCAATGCAGGATGCTTCACTGCAACTGATTTCTAGGAGTTTCAAGGACCCCAGTGGAGCCTCCTTCTCTCTGCAAACAGCCCCCCCTTGGCCCTTTGGCTGTGGTTCCTGTTTTCTAAGCCAGTGCACTTCCCCTTGCTGAAGGCAAGTGCTTTTGGAGGAGGGGTGTGGGGTGGAGGGGATTCAGGCACCTTCCAGGCCCCAGCACAGCTAAGTACCCACCGCGCGGCTGTTTATGGACCTCTCTGTACCTTTTCAAGCGAGCCATGACCGATGGGCATTGCAGGTCCCACCCTAGGCAAGGACCCCCAGACAACCCGGGTGGGCAGCAGTCTCTACACAGGTTTCCCCCTTCAGACCACCAGAGCCCCCCCCCCCCGGCGGCTGTGGTAACCAACAGTTTCTAGCACTTTTGCATCCGCGCTGGCTTTGGCTTTTAAACAATGATATAATTTTAATCGTTTTCCTTTGGCGTTTGCAGTCGGACTCTTACCACCTCTCATCCAGTGACCGTAGGGCTCCTCCCCCCAACTGGGACTGTACAAACGAAGAGCCCACTGGCTGAGTCTGGCGGTGCCTCGTTGTCCCCTAGTTTCTAAGTAAATGCTGTTCTCAACTGTGTAAGAAACCACAAAGGTAGAAGACTTTACAGCAGAGAGAAACCAAAACGGTTTGAGAAATTTCAGCAGAGAAAAACCAAACGGTTCAAGCAATGTCAAGAGACAAAAATCAAATTGGTGTAAGAACTTACAGCAAAGGAAAACCAAACTGTTTAAGAAATCGAAACAGGAAATCTCATATTGGTATAAGAATTTACAGCAGAGAAAACCCAAAACGGTATAAAAAAAAAGTCAAATTGGTAAGAAAGCAAAGACGGTTGAAGAAATCCTAACAGGTTTAAAAAAATCAAATTGTTATAGGAATGTATAGCAGAGAAAAACCGAGACGGTTTTAAGAAATAGAAACAAGGTAAGATATCAAATTGGTATAATAATTTACACCAGAAAAAGTACAAAAACGGTAAGAAATCACAACAGATAAAAAAAGTCAACTTGGTATAAGAATTTACAGCAGAGAACTAAGATGGCTTTAAGAAATCATAACAGGAAATATCAAATGGGTATAAGAATTTACAACAGAGGAAATCCAAACCGGTTTAGGTTTAAGACTTTACAGCATTGAAATGCAAAACCTGTTTAAAGACCAAAAACAAAAAAAAAAAAAAAAAAAAAAACAAGACTTTACAGCAGGGAAAAAAAGAATAGATTTAAAACTTTGTACCTGAGAAAAACCAAAACAATCTAAGTCTTTGCAGCAGAAGAAAAGGAAAAAAATCATTTAATACTTCATAGCTAAAAAACTAAAAGTAATAAAAATTTTAAAACATACTTCAAGACTTTATAGCAGTGAAAACTCAACTTGGTATCTCTCTCTCTCTCTCTCTCTCTCTCTCTCTCTCTCTCTCTCTCTCTCTCTCTCTCTGCGTGTCTGTCTCTCCATATTGGTGTTTTCAGGTATGTATGTTTGTATGAGATGTCAGATCCTGGACTTACAGACAGTTTTGAGGCAAACAAAACAAGGCTTCTGCGGCCAAAGGCAGCAGGCACTCAGAGCTGCAGGCGGGACACTTCATTGCTGCCTCTGCCGGGAGTGCACAGCAAGGACTCGGTGACGGTTCCCTAACCGACCTTGCTCCCGTGCTGGCACCGCTACCGCCCTGGCCAGCGCCTTTTAGGCGGTCACAAGGCCTTGAATGCATGCCTGACGACTTCTAAGTCGCCTCTGTCGCCAAAGGTAGATTCTACTCCTCCGGCATGCAGGCCTGCCACTTCTCCACCATAGGGAGAGAACTATCAAAGAGTCTGGGACCTCCTCACCGTCACCCATGGCAGTCTCCTTCCTCAGGTACCTTCACCTTTGCAGGTATCTCTACAGGTGTCGGCTCCGCCACCGCCTTGGTGAGCGCCTGTCAGGCAGTCACCAAACCTAACCTTGCCCTCCTGACGACTTCAGGCTCGCTTCTGCCGCCATAGGCTGCTCCTTGCCCGACCTGCAGTCCCGACATTTCTCCCGTGCTGCCAGCGTCCTATGGACGACCGGGCGGTCGCTCTTCGGTCACAAGCCGTCTGACGGCCTCACGACGTCCAACGCGATTTGGCCGGAACGCAGCTTCTACTGCGACTGCAGGCACTTCCCTTCTTCACCGCTGGGAGGCCACTGTCAAAGACACTGGGACGGCCCCAGCACCGTCACGGAGCGCAGCATCGTTTCTGCCGTGCGGTAGACGCTGAACGTATCGGCGCCGAGCCGGGTGCCGGTGTCGGAGCCGAGGCCGGTGCTTTTGAAAGCGACGCCGCCCGCCGCCGGTGCCGGCGACGAGATGACAGTGACGGCGGTGGTGCCGGTGCAGCCTCCGGTGTGGCGACGGTGATGGGGCCGTTGACGGCCACGGGGCCGGTGCCCGGGCAGGTGCCCGTGCCGGCTCCCCCACCGCCTTGGTGAGCGCCTGTCAGGCAGTGGAAAATCCTGACCACGCCCTCCTGAGGGCTTCCGGCTCGCTTCTGCCAGCATAGGCTGCTCCTTCCCCGACCCACAGGCCGGTCACTTCTTGACTCTTGGTGGAGCGCGGTCAAGGACTCGCCGACGGCCCCATCACCGTCGCCCGTGGCATTCTCTCTTCTGTGGGTCACGTGGTTTTCAGCAGGCAAGGTTGCCCAATGCCCGCGGCCCCGCCCCCGTGGGAGACTACAAATATCCTGGCCGGGACGCTGCAGAAGGTTCTCCTGCATGCCTGCCTGCCTGCCTGCCTTGCCTTGCCTGCCTGCCTGCCTGCCTGCCTTGCCTTGCCTTGCCTTGCCTTGCCTTGCCTTGCCTTGCCTTGCCTTGCCTTGCCTTGCCTTGCCTTGCCTTGCCTTGCCTTGCCTTGCCTTGCCTTGCCTTGCCTTGCCTTGCCTTGCCTTGCCTTGCCTTGCCTTGCCTTGCCTTGCCTTGCCTTGCCTTGCCTTGCCTTGCCTTGCCTTGCCTTGCCTTGCCTTGCCTTGCCTTGCCTTGCCTTGCCTTGCCTTGCCTTGCCTTGCCTTGCCTTGCCTTGCCTTGCCTTGCCTTGCCTTTGCCTTGCCTTGTCTTGCCTTGCCTTGCCTTGCCTTGCCTTGTCTTTGTCTTGCCTTGTCTTCTGTCTTGTCTTGTCTTGTCTTGTCTTGCCTTGCCTTGTCTTGCCTTGTCTTGCCTTGTCTTGTCTTGCCTTGCCTTGTCTTGTCTTGCCTTGTCTTGCCTTGTCTTGTCTTGTCTTGTCTTGCCTTGTCTTGTCTTGTCTTGTCTTGCCTTGTCTTGTCTTTGTCTTGTCTTGTCTTGCCTTGTCTTTGCCTTGCCTTGTCTTGTCTTGTCTCTGTCTCTGTCTTGCCTTGTCTTGCCTTGTCTTGCCTTGTCTTGTCTTGTCTTTGTCTTGCCTTGTCTTGTCTTGCCTTGCCTTGTCTTGTCTTCTTGTCTTGCCTTGCCTTGCCTTGCTCTTGTCTTGTCTTGCCTTGTCTCTGTCTTGCCTTGTCTTGTCTTGCCTTGCCTTGTCTCTGTCTTTGTCTTTGTCTTGCCTTGTCTTGTCTTGCCTTGTCTTGCCTTGTCTTGTCTTGCCTTGCCTTGTCTCTGTCTTGTCTTTGTCTCTGTCTCTGTCTCTTGTCTTGTCTTTGTCTTGTCTTGTCTTCTGTCTTGTCTTGTCTCTGTCTTTGTCTTGCCTTGTCTTGTCTTGCCTTGTCTTGTCTCTGTCTTGTCTTGTCTTTGTCTTGTCTCTTGTCTTTGTCTTGTCTTGTCTTGTCTTTGTCTTTGTCTTGCCTTGTCTTGTCTTGTCTTGCCTCTGTCTTGCCTTGTCTTGTCTTGTCTTGCCTTGTCTTGCCTTGTCTTGTCTTGTCTTGTCTTCTGTCTTGTCTTGCCTTGCCTTGTCTTGCCTTGTCTTGCCTTGTCTTCTGTCTTGTCTTGTCTTCTGTCTTTGTCTTGTCTTGTCTCTTGCCTTGCCTTGTCTTGCCTTGTCTCTGTCTTGCCTTGCCTCTGTCTTGTCTTGTCTTCTGTCTTGTCTTGTCTTGTCTTGCCTTGTCTTGTCTTGCCTTGTCTTGTCTTGCCTTGTCTTGTCTTGTCTTTGTCTTCTGTCTCTGTCTTGCCTTGTCTTTGTCTTGTCTTGCCTTGTCTTGTCTCTGTCTTGCCTTGTCTTGTCTTGCCTTGTCTTGCCTTGCCTTGTCTTGTCTCTGTCTTGCCTTGTCTTGCCTTGTCTTGTCTTGCCTTGCCTTGCCTTGCCTTGTCTTCTGTCTCTGTCTTTGTCTTGTCTTCTGTCTCTTGTCTTGTCTTGTCTTGCCTTGTCTTTGTCTTTGTCTTGTCTCTGTCTTTGCCTTGTCTTGTCTTGTCTTGTCTTGCCTTGTCTTGTCTTTGTCTTGTCTTGTCTTTGCCTTGTCTTGCCTTGTCTTGTCTTGTCTCTTGTCTTGTCTTGTCTTGTCTTGCCTTGTCTTGCCTTGCCTTGTCTCTGTCTTGTCTTGCCTTGTCTTGTCTTGTCTTGTCTTGTCTTTGTCTTGTCTTTGTCTTGCCTTGTCTTGTCTTTGTCTTGCCTTGCCTTGCCTTGTCTTGTCTTGCCTTGTCTTGCCTTGCCTTGTCTTGCCTTGCCTTGCCTTGTCTTGTCTTGTCTTTGTCTTGTCTTGCCTTGTCTTGTCTTGCCTTGCCTTGCCTTGTCTTGCCTTGTCTTTGCCTTGCCTTGCCTTGTCTTGCCTTGTCTCTGTCTTGCCTTGTCTTGTCTTGTCTTGTCTTGTCTTGTCTTGTCTTGTCTTGTCTTTGTCTTGCCTTGTCTTGTCTTGTCTTGCCTTGTCTTGTCTTGTCTTGTCTTGTCTTTGTCTTGTCTTGTCTTGTCTTGCCTTGTCTTGTCTTGTCTTTGTCTTGCCTTGTCTTGTCTTGTCTCTGTCTTGTCTTGCCTTGTCTTGTCTTGCCTTGTCTTTGTCTTGTCTTCTTGTCTTGTCTTGTCTTGTCTTGCCTTGTCTCTGTCTTCTGTCTTTGTCTTGTCTTGTCTTGTCTTGCCTTGTCTTGTCTTCTGTCTTTGTCTTGTCTTTGTCTTGTCTTGTCTTTGTCTTGTCTTGTCTCTGTCTTGTCTTTGTCTTGTCTTGTCTTGTCTCTGTCTTTGTCTTGTCTGTCTTGTCTCTGTCTTGTCTTGTCTTGCCTTGTCTTGTCTTGTCTTTGTCTTGTCTTGTCTTGTCTTGTCTTGTCTTTGTCTCTTGTCTTGTCTTGTCTCTGTCTTGTCTCTTGTCTTGTCTTGTCTTTGTCTTGTCTTCTGTCTTGTCTTGTCTTGTCTTTGTCTCTGTCTTGCCTTGTCTTGTCTTGCCTTGTCTTGTCTTGTCTTTGTCTTTGTCTTGTCTTGTCTTGTCTTGTCTTGTCTTGTCTTGTCTCTGTCTTGTCTTTGTCTCTGTCTTGTCTCTGTCTCTGTCTTTGTCTTCTGTCTCTGTCTTCTGTCTTTGTCTTCTGTCTCTGTCTTTGTCTTGTCTTGTCTTTGTCTTGTCTTGTCTTCTGTCTTGTCTTGTCTTTGTCTTTGTCTTGTCTTTGTCTTTGTCTTGTCTTTGTCTTGTCTTTGTCTTTGTCTTTGTCTTGTCTTGTCTTTGTCTTGTCTTGTCTTTGTCTTGTCTTCTGTCTTCTGTCTTGTCTTTGTCTTTGTCTTGTCTTTGCCTTGTCTTGTCTTGTCTGTCTTGTCTTGTCTTGTCTCTGTCTTGTCTTTGTCTTTGTCTTTGTCTTTGTCTTTGTCTTGTCTCTGTCTCTGTCTTTGTCTCTTGTCTTGTCTTGTCTTGTCTCTGTCTTGTCTCTGTCTTGTCTTTGTCTTGCCTTGTCTCTTGTCTTGTCTTGTCTTGCCTTGTCTTGCCTTGTCTTGTCTTGTCTCTGTCTTGCCTTGTCTTGTCTTGTCTTTGTCTTGTCTTGTCTTTGTCTTGTCTTGTCTTTGTCTCTGTCTTTGTCTTGTCTTGTCTTGTCTTGTCTTGTCTTGCCTTGTCTTCTGTCTTTGCCTTGTCTTGTCTTGTCTTGTCTTGCCTTGTCTTGTCTTGCCTTGCCTTTGTCTTGCCTTGTCTTGCCTTGCCTCTGTCTTTGTCTTGCCTTGCCTTGCCTTGTCTTGCCTTGCCTTGTCTTGCCTTGTCTTGTCTTGCCTTGTCTTGCCTTGCCTTGTCTTGTCTTGCCTTGCCTTGTCTCTGTCTTGCCTTGTCTTGCCTTGTCTTGCCTTGTCTTGTCTTGCCTTGTCTTGTCTTTGCCTTGCTCTTGTCTTGCCTTGCCTTGTCTTGCCTTGTCTTGCCTTGCCTTGCCTTGCCTTGTCTTGCCTTGCCTTGCCTTGTCTTTGCCTTGCCTTGCCTTGCCTTGCCTTGCCTTGTCTTGCCTTGCCTTGTCTTGCCTTGTCTTGCCTTGTCTTGCCTTGTCTTGTCTTGTCTTGCCTTGCCTTGCCTTGTCTTGCCTTGCCTTGTCTTTGCCTTGTCTTGTCTTGCCTTGTCTTGCCTTGCCTTGTCTTCTTGCCTTGCCTTGCCTTGCCTTGTCTTGTCTCTGTCTCTGTCTTTGTCCTTGTCTTGCCTTGCCTTGCCTTGTCTTGCTTGCCTTGTCTTGTCTCTTGTCTTGCCTTGTCTTGTCTTCTGTCTTTGTCTTGCCTTGTCTTGCCTTGTCTTGTCTTGCCTTGTCTTGTCTTGTCTTGCCTTGTCTTGTCTTGTCTTGCCTTGTCTCTGTCTTGCCTTGCCTTGTCTTGTCTTGTCTTGTCTTGTCTTGCCTTGTCTTGCCTTGTCTTGCCTTGTCTTGTCTTGTCTTTGTCTTGCCTTGTCTTGTCTTGCCTTGTCTCTGTCTTGTCTCTGTCTTGCCTTGTCTTGCTGTCTTGCCTTGCCTTGTCTTGCCTTGCCTTGCCTTGCCTTGTCTTGTCTCTGTCTTTGCTCTTGTCTTGTCTTGTCTTGCCTTGTCTTGCCTTGCCTTGTCTTGTCCTTGTCTCTGCCTTGTCTTGTCTCTTGCCTTGTCTTGCCTTGTCTTGCCTTGCCTTGTCTTGTCTTGTCTTGTCTTCTGTCTTGTCTTGCCTTGCCTTGTCTTCTGTCTTGCCTTGCCTTGCCTTGCCTTGTCTTGCCTTGCCTTGCCTTGCCTTGTCTTGCCTTGCCTTGCCTTGCCTTGTCTTGTCTTGCCTTGCCTCTGTCTCTTGCCTCTGTCTCTGTCTTGCCTTGCCTTGCCTTGCCTTGCCTTGTCTTGCCTTGCCTTGCCTTGCCTTGCCTTGCCTTGCTCTTGTCTCTGTCTTGCCTTGCCTTGCCTTGCCTTGTCTTGCCTTGCCTTGCCTTGTCTCTGTCTTGCCTTGTCTTGCCTTGTCTTTGTCTTGTCTTGTCTCTTGTCTCTGTCTTGTCTTGCCTTGCCTTGTCTTGTCTTGTCTTGTCTTGTCTCTTGCCTTGTCTGTCTTTGTCTTTGTCTTGCCTTGTCTTGCCTTGTCTTGCCTTGTCTTGTCTTGTCTTGTCTTGTCT